AAAAACAATTGAGTTTTATTTAGTAACCCCGGTTTTTTTTTTTTTTTTTTTTGTAAAAAAAAAAAAACATGGTTAATTTTCAAACATCTGAGTTTGTAACTAAATTGGTACGAAAGTGTTTTAGGTCATTTATCTTCCAGCACTGGCATCAAAATATGCAAGTCTAAGTTACACGTACTCAACAAAACAACATTTTGAAAGCGTTGTCAGCTCCATTAATTTAACTGCGTATTTCATTGCTAAAGCCTGAGACCTCAAGGCACAGTTTCCACAGCTGTATTTTTCCACATGGTTTTAGAAAACCTTACTCGACTGCAAGGTCACGAGAACTCAAAGGACGTCCGACAAAAAAAAGATAGCGGACAGCCATAACAGCTTCAAGTTCAAACGTCTTGAACGAGATATATCGTTATATGATATTAAACGCAGATCTATTTGTTTTTTTAGTGACAGCAGACGTCATCTCAATTTTAATAAACATTTTCCCTATGATGTGAAAATGTTTAAATTCGCTTTGACTGAGCACCAATGCTGGACTGTTATTATAATATTATAAACAACCTTGTGCTGTCGCGCCAGCCTGCAACAGCACACTGTATAGTGCTATATAGTTAGCCGCATCGAGCATTCTTATCTACTGCAAGATTGTTACTATTTTGTCATGTTTGAAATAATTATTTTTTTCGGTTGCACGTTGTCTTAATGTGACAAAACTTACATGGCCTTTTGCGCAGTGCCGTATGAATTCGCGACCGCTACTTGTCCCAGATCACAGTTATTTCGTCTTCTTTTTTTTCATTCACATTGCTTATCGTCACAAACTCAACATCCTCGCATCCACTCCGCCCACCGCGTACTGCAACTCCACTGCGCATGCGCGTCTTCAACTACGCCCGCTAGGGGGAGACAAACTGCTGTTTCTCTGCGCATGCGCGTTTTTACACAAAACAAACGCTAGGGGGACACACTTATACTGGACACCGCTGGTTTTCGAAAGCATTATAAAGCGATGTCAAGGTTGTAACAGAACACCCATGAAACGGTAAGTTCATAAGTGTGCAGCAATTATCACTTTTTTCTTCCAAGTATGGTCTTTTAGTTTGTTTTCACGGCGTTTGATACATGTGACGATGGGGATATATGCAATGTCTATTAACCGCCACTGGATGGCGACATTTAGCCGTCACTCCACCGCCACTTTTCCAAACAAAAGTTTAGAAGAGACGTTTGTCTCGGGAATTAAATGGACACCATGCTCTTTTTAATTGATTTTATTTGAGATTCCAAAGATATTGTTGTGTGTTTGTACATTTATTAACAATAATGTCAAGTAGAGTGTGCACGCTTACATGTATCTGAGTTTTCAGCTGTTAATGCTTTTCCTCAGTCACAGTGTGTCAACAGATACATTGTGTGTCATGCAAATTTCAATTACTCCCCCACTGGTTTTCCCTCTGTCATAGCCAGTGTTACAGACCAACCACCTCAAACACACACTCATTCTTTCTCCTCTTTCTCACCCACCCACTTAAACATTCAGCGATAAAAATGTGTTTTGAGTGCATTAAAAAGGAACACCGCAGTGCAAAAACAAGAATGTATAACATCTTCTGCTTTGCAACGCTTTCTCTGTGCTTGTCTGTTGAGCGGCTGCCTTACAGTCTGACAAGGCAACATCTGAATATCAGAATTTGCATTTGTGATCCCCTTCAATTTCATCCTGTTAGACAGCACACAGTTTTGCTTACATCCATACACACATGCACCAGAAAGAAAAAAACTGGGGAAAAGAGTGGGAGACTGGTAGATATGTGCAGTCAAACCCACAGGACTTAAAAGTCAAGAAATCAAGCATTTTTAGAATATAAATGTTGCAGTTCAACCAGAGTTTCATTTCATATTAATCTTCAGTGACAATCGCCATAAGCACAACAACTTTATTTCTTAATGTTGCCTAATAGCAAAAGCAGATTGTTGTTATTGAAATTGCAGACACTATGTCTGACTTCCTTTTAGACATGCAATACTGGATCTGCAGTAGCCTACTATTTATATTATTTATGATGATAACCAAGGTTTACCTCAGTATATACTGATTACTTCTCTTTGTTTTGGCCCTACAGATTTTAATGAACTCGACCGATGAGATAGATTTGGATGGTAAATGATCTAATGCAACTGTTATGGTAAAAATCGATATGAAAGAGGTGATGAATGCTTCTGTCTAAAGAAGGAAATTAATGACAACTCTCTGGTGCTGAATTCATGATCAGCATGTGAAGGTGAAGAGCATTTTTGAGGTTACTGTGTTTGTCTGCTGCATAGACAAAAGGAGGTCACGAGAGTGCATTATAGCTGAAATGCTAAAAGAATTGGTTGAATATTTCATGAAATGTGGTTTTAAAAGTAGAGACAAATATGTCAGCTGTATCTCCTGACATGCTCCGTCTCATGAAGCTAAATGTAGTGTTAAAAATGTATTGTTGTAGAACATCTCACAAACATTGTCATATTTCACCCCAAAATCAAAATAATTTTTTTTTAGTATTTTCCATTGCAACATTTGTGCAAATAATCATAAATTAATTATACTATTAATAATGTTGTCTTCCTATACATACAAATATGAAAATGTCTCTCTCTCTCTCTCTCTCGACATCTAACTTTCTTAAAAATTATACCCAAAAATATGTTTTTCTGTTGATTTGTAACCCAGATATGCTTTTTTTTTTGTTTTTGTTTTGTTTTTTTTGTTTTTTTACTTTAAATGAACCCTTTTGGTCCTTTGCTGTTGATGTTGTTATGCTGAAAGTTCATGCTTTATTTATATCTTCACAAGAATCCTTCGAAAATAAGCATGACAAGTGTACAGCTGCTCACATCTTTCCTTTCTTTACTAGGATTTACACTAACAACAAATTGGCTTCCGCTCTTGAATCTAATTCACCCACTGACATTCCAAGCTGGTCTGAGAGCGTCAGATGAGTGCGACCTTACAGAGTGATGAGGCTCGGCATCCTGCCAGACTGTCCTCCTTCTCATCGTCTGAGCATCTGAGTGTTGCCATCCACTGTGCTTATACGTCTTCACCTCAATGGATCACCGCTCATGACACAACCTCCCACCGAATCAAAGGAAGGTGCTGTCAGGTGCCAGATTCCAGACTGACGTCAGCATGGTGATAAGTTTACAATACTTAATGTGAAAAATCGAAATATCCAGATATAACAGTGCTCCATTCGAGTAGATTGACCTCATGACAGACGTTAAGTTTCATACAGGTTAATGCAAATGAAAAAACCTTAAAACACAGTAAACTCAAAGTGTTTACTTGGAGTTCTTCAACATACCGTTCCAAATGGCAGTCTGATGTTTCCAAGAGAACGTCAGATGCGGGACAGGTCCTATGGGGCCGCGCGTAGGCAGTGGCGTTGTGCATTCGCAGATGTGTAAAAAGCTCCCTGCCAGGGGCCATGTCTGTCACACCTGCTACTGCAACTTCTCTTTCTGCTCTGAGCTGAACTTTTATTAGGGCCATCACCATCTCCAGCTGCTCCATTCCAACAAATACATGAGGGACGACTTCACACATCACAGTTTTTAATGGCATTTCACATGATCGAAATTGTCAATGTGTTTTGAATTCCCTGTAGTAAAGAGCATACAGATGGAAGGGAAATTAGCTGAGCAATTTGTGTCCCAATCGTTCAGTCTAGGGTGTGAGGCTGTTTAGGGTGCTATGAGTGGTTTGACAGACAGACACAGACAGACAGACAGACAGACAGACAGACAGACAGAGAGACAGACAGACAGATAGATAGATAGATAGATGATTGATTGATTGACGATAGATAGATAGATAGACAGGCAGACAGACAGGTAGGTAGGTAGGTAGGTAGACAGACAGACAGACAGACAGACAGACAGACAGACAGACAGACAGACAGACGATAGATAGCCAGATAGATAGATAGATAGATATTGTTCTCAGTAAATGACTCAGATTCCACACACCTTAAGTGTAATTTTTGAAGTTAACATCATGCATTTATTTCCAGCACTACCAGCAAAACTCTGAGTATTGCACAGTCCCTTCAAATGACTGCCTTGAGCAATCCAACACAAACGTTCTATAAGCAAATACAGTGGATATTACCATATAAACAAGAGCGGATATGTTTCATACCCCTCATACAGTTTGATATAATGAGTGTAAAACCGGGTGCCATTTTACTGAAGTGTGCATGATTAACGCCTACGAATAAAAAGTTTTAGATATTAGAAAGTGTTTTCATCTGCACCAGATCTAAGAACAAATTCAACATGAATAAACAAGGAAGGAAGATCTCTGAGTCAGTTTTGTTTAGACAGTAAGTTCTAAACCTGATTATCAACATTTTGAGGGCTCTTGCCTTTAAATTAGCATTTCAATGAGTGTTTTGGTAGATTGTATGTTTGCATCAGCTGTTTTAGCTAAACAGTGAGTAATGTCACTTCTACAGGTGTTAAATTTTTTACAGACCCAGTAAAGTGTAATAGCTCTGAAACTAGCGAGTTAAAAGAAACATCAAATCAAAAATAAAACAACAGGTCATGACACAAGGTATGCAAGGAAGGATTATGGACCTACTAGGGCCCACTTTGTTACCTTTTCCCCAGGGATTTAAAAAATAAAATACAAAATGAGATCTTATTTATTGTAATTGTGGCTTTACACTCCACAATTGCTACTTGAAATTATTTCTCATAATTGAGATTCAATATCAGCCTAGTGAGCTGCTTTAAGACAGAATCCTGACATGAAACCTTAAAAATGACCAATCTTAATTGATTTTCAGAGAATCTATGATATTACCGTATTGGCCCGAATATAAGATGACCCTGATTATAAGACGACCCCCCCTTTTTCCAGATGTACCTTTTTTGGAAAAAGGCTTTTTAAAAACCAAATCTTGTTTTTTTTCTCAGTAAAACACATTTTGTCTTCAATTATTTTCATATTGCATATTTTTCCTATTTTAATTTTTGTTTTGAAAGTATGGTTAAAAACTGGTAAAATGTACCATCAATCACATTTAAAAAATATACACTTTTTGATATACCATTAAAAAAAAAAAAAAACGGTAGTCCATCTGAATTAGGACATTTAGGCTATCCATCTAATAGTAGCCTACCAAAATCTTATTAACAGTAGAAGTTAAATCTTACTGTAGTCTTCAAATCTGGGTACTGTCTTACGTTTTAAAATCGCAAAGGGAGTTTGGTCTCATCAGGCTAACGTGACAGTCACGACTCATGCAGCTGTAAGGTTTTCTTTTTCTTTTGTTTTTACTCGCGATCTTTACAACATGCGTCACATTATGTATTTCATGGCACACTCGTTTTATGCGTATTTGGCGCCACCTAGTGTTGTGGGTGTATTATTGACATGTCAAAGTCTAGACCCTGAATATAAGACGGCCGCGTTTTTTCAGATGTATTGCCAAGAAAAAAACATTGTCTTATATTCGGGTCAATACGGCATTATTCAATGAAGCACACAGGATATACATGACTCAATTGATTTCAGAGTCTGGCATTAGCATGATGCTATGCTAACAACACTCTAACAGGTATAAAATATACAACAAATATTTGGGCAGAGATCGTTATTACTATTTTATTATTTATCAGATTATATCACTATTGAAATATTTATACTTGAAAGTCAAAATGAGGTATCTAAGAAAGAAGCACAAGTATGCTGAAACTTGACTCAAAATCGATTTCAATAGAGTTTGGAATTAGCAAGTTCCTAAGTTAATGATACAGCACTCTAAAACCTTAGAACACAGAACACACAAATATAAAATAATAATTTTAAATAATAAATTTAAATTAAAGTAGAACCATGACTTGACTCAATTATTTTCAGTAGAGCTTGGAAGTAACATGCTGCAACTGCTAACAATGCAATACTCTAATAACCGCATACACACAACAAATATGGGGTAAAATAATCCATTTTAATTAGATCTTTAATTAAAACCATTTTATTTGTTTTAGTATTTAGTCATAAGTATTATAAGTTAAAATGATGAGTATCATAATTATAATAAGACCTAACCCAATTCATTTCAATAGCAGTTGGAATTAACATTTGCTAGCTAGCAAATCAATACTCTAATAACCATAAATATACATAAACAAATATTGGGTAAAATCACGTTTTTTAAATTAAATTAAAATATTTTTTTTAATAAAATGTTCACTATTGATTTGCTCATTTATGCTGCCTGTACATTTTTTTAATACTACCTAAGTTGGCAGCTCACTAGGTTTTAGAAATGAAGATCATATTTCACAATCCACTCACAGGTAAATTCCACCCCACTTTTTTCTCATTACATATCATGTTTCAGAAATATAACATAAAAGTAAAAAAAGAATTATAGCTTCTCATAATTCTGACTCGCAAATGCACTGTCAAGTGACTGAAAATTCAAATTGATGCCAATCTGTATCTTAATTACAAGTAGCGTTTGTCTGTCAACAACCATTTAAAATTTCCTTTGTTTTCCCATGTCTCAACTTTAGGCCCCTGGCAGTCTGGAAGCTCCTTGGCCCGGTTCATAATCCATCCCTGAAGGTATGGGAATAAATACACATACAATATTTTGTATATATATATATGTATATAGACTGTATATAGTATCTATATATAGCATCTCACTTTGATTTCTGTGTGGCACCACTGTTGCCTACTATATTATATTCATATTTTGTGGTGACTGAAATTAGATCAGCAATGATTCAACCACTGCTCTCACATGGATCCATCGATCGCAACTCATCTGGCTAGAGCCGCAACTCAAAAATTATACAACACGTTAACATCAAAAACACTACGCAAACACTGTGGTGCTGTAAATCTGCTAATGTGTGACAGTGTTTCTCGCAGCAGGTTCTCTGATCGAAACAGTTACTTGGTCACAAAAACCGAAACCATACAAGCTCGTAAAAGCTCAAGAAGTGGTGACAGATGTGCTATTGTTCAGTAGCGTTGAATTTGTCAGTGTGTCGCTATTAGATTGTGGCGTTAGAGGAAGAAGCCTTCGATTGCTTGTGCAGACTTAGCATGTGGTGGGGTACTCTTTTGCGTTTGACTCTCATGTGACTCTCGGTTTAGTCCTCAGCACCGCTCTTTCGTGAATCCGGACCTGGGAAGCCCCTCTAGAAGTCTCAGGCTATGTGGTCATGGTTAGAGTGGTAAACGGATGTGCATGGCTGAGCTGTTGGGCCTGGCAGCCAGGATGTAGATGGCACTCTCCCTCAGGAAGTTGTCCCAGGTAACGGGTCTGGAAAATGTAACGGTAAAATAGAGTTAACTCAACTAACCCACAAATTATAAAAGCCAAAAGACACCTGTTATAATTATTTACCTATAGCTACTGATTGTCACCATGTCGTAATTACCAACATTTCAAAATGACAAAACGTGACGTTCTACTTGGAACTGACTCAGAATTATGAATTGTATGGCAATACTATCAACGTCACATCCTCGTACCACTCGTAATTACAACTTGTAAGCTGGGAATCTTCTGAGAGCTAAAGCGTCATTAACGCTATGTTGTAATTACTGTAATATTTAGTGTAGAACTACAATAACATCACAGCGCACACAACGCCTCTGCATTTACTACCGGTTTCTCTCAACATGGCAACACGAGAGCTGTCAGTCAATACATGGGAAACAAAGTAACTGGTGTGACTTATTTGAAAAAGTAACTCAGATGTTTTCTTCTACATTAAAAAGTAATGTGTTACTTTACTAGTTACTTAAAAAAGTAATTTGATTACGTAACGTGCGTTACTTGAAACACGTGACGTTCTACTTGGAACTGTCCTCAGACTCAGACATAGCTGGTTATATTACTTACAAATTGTAGTCCGTTACTGATTTCTAATTACAGGACAAAAATTGTAGTTAGTAACATAATCCATTACATTACACATTTTAGGTAATATAATCGGACTACTTTTTGATTACTTTTGACCTAAATCATTTATCACATTGATTTAAATAGGATAATATTGTATCATATTGATGTAAAAATACAAAGAGTAAAAAAATATATTCCATTCTTTGTAATTAACAACATGAAGTGCATTAAACATTACATTATATCATGGTTTCCCAAACTGGGGTTCGTGGGGGAACTGTATGGGGTTCAGGAGTTTAATAAAAAAACATAATTAAATAAAAAAATGTTAAATTAAAATAAATCATTTTAAAATGACATCAATCAAAATAAAACACTTACTAAAAAAAACTAAATATTTACTTGTATGTCATGTGACCATTAACCATCAGAGAACCGTGAACATGCAAATGTGATGCTTCATTATTAAAATATTTATTTTAAAATCTCTTCATTACATGTAAATAAGAAATACCATGAATTTGTGCATTTTATTGTGTTTGAAAGACAAAAACGAGGATTTAGGGAGAATCAATAAATTATGAATAATTTATTGCTGTTGTATGAATAATAAGTAATCATATAATCAATATAAAGTAACTGTACTCTGATTACGAGTATTTTAAAATGTTACGGTAATTACGACATGCCGTTAATGCAGCTATGTGGAAGCTAAGCAGCTGATATGGTGTGATGGTTGTTCAGGTGTTTCTAAGTGGTGCCTATAGAATGTCCCAGGCGATTGCTAGGGTTTTCTGGGTGGTTTCTATGCTGTTGTTAAGCAGTTGCTAATGTGTACTGGGTTGTTGCTAGGGCATTTCTTGGTGATTGCTAGGGTGTTGCTAGGCGGTTCCTAGGATGTGCCTACATGGCTCAGATCCCTTCTTTATTGTATGTGATTTTTTTCTACATATTTATTCTCAGTGTTGGGGAGTAACTAGTTACATGTAACGGAATTATGTAATTTGATTACAAAATAAATTTAACTGTAATCTGTTACAGTTACAGAGAAAAAATGTGTAGTTAAATTACAGTTACTGTTTAAACACTAATAAACACTGTTTATTCTCCATCATCTAAAAATCATAATAATGGGCACTGATTGTAATGGGAGCATTTTAGTATGGCTGTGCAACACATTTGTAGTTTACAAGTGAACACACATACACCAACCTGTTGTCATTCTCCAAAGCTTTATCTCTGCTTCTCTCGCTGCTGGAACTGGCAGGACTGCTCTCAGATATTGGACCAACATGGCTGATACTGCAGATGAAGAAAGCAAGCTGAAACACACGTTGTTTCATTCAGTCTCTCCCACACAGACACACACACTACCGGACAGCTCACAGCAGGTCGCACTTCTACAGTCTCTGGGTTTTCAAACTCTAATTCGTTGTTCTCATGACACCTCAGAGCCCCGAGAGAGACGATACCCAACCACCGGCAAGACAAAACTAGTTCACTCATGAGCAGAAACATGCATTCAGGACTTGAATTGAAATTCAAAATGCATTCTCAATTCAATTCTGAATGGCCCACAACCCTTGTACGGTATATACAGTTGTCTCACAAACATTGCATGCCATTCCGTACACTGACATGATCTGACAAACTTCATTGACTGAAATAAATTCATTTGAAACAAGAACGTCCTGTAATTAAGTTCAATGACATGTGAAGCAAAACTGACCAGAGCCTTGAACGGCAACCCAAACATCTTGTCCAGAACTGGGACCGCTCAGAGTCGAGACTGTCTGCTTTGATCTCAAACCCTCAGTTGATTTTAATGAGCGTAAATTAGGATGCAAGCTTAGTCATGCCATAAATGCACCAAACATACACACAAACACCCCCAACCCCATGCACCCGCACACTCAGGCGCTCATTTAACCTGCTGTGCTCCTTAAAACTGATGAAAAATATCCTTAAGGGCTTCTCTGAGGGGAATAAAAGCCCCTCTTTTTGATCTTGATAATGGGAGGGCAAGATCTCATTTAATACAGCCATAGCAGCTGAGAGAGTGGCCATTACAGTCAAAAACTACCCAATTTAGCTTTGATATTTTTAGCCACTGATTCCTTGGCCTCCATTATGGAATATTTAGCAATTGAGGTGATAATGAGTATAATGAGTATAATGATGATGATGGCAGGGAACGGTGTAAGATGTTTCCAGGGGAGGCCCATGCAGATCGAGTGACTTACCCCATACTGAACAAAGGGGAACACAATCCCATGAGTCTGCAGGGCAAATGGACATTCAGCAGTGGTGAAAAGGATGGGATGATTGGTTAAAAAAAACAAAAAAAACAATAGCATGGAGGATGATGTCAAAAAAGACTGTCCAAATATTGAATTCACAAATATGTTGATAAGTCAGTCAATCAAAATTCAAGCAAAATATGTTATCTAAAATATATATACTGTATACTTAACCATTTAAATGTTTGGGGTGAGTAAGATTTTTTTGAAAGAAATTACATTAAAATTATGTAATGTAATAATTTGAAATTACATTGCATTGAATTGCTTAAAAAGTGACAGTAAAGATAATATAATTAGCGCTGGTAAATGATTAATCGCGATTAATCGCATCCAAAATAAACGTTTGTGTTTACATAATATATGTGTGTCCTGTGTATATTTATTATGTACATATATAAATACACACACACACATATATTGTGTAAACACAAACTTTTATTTTGGATGCGATTAATCGTGATTAATAGTTTAAAAATAAAAAGATTTATATTTCAAATAATTCTTTAAAGAATCCAAAATAAAATCATATTATGTTTTCAACAAAACTCTGAAGCAGCACAACTGTTTTCACCATTGAAATAATAATAAATATTTATTGAGCAGCAAATCAGCATATTAGAATGATTTCTGAAGGATTATGTGACACTGAAGACTGGAGTAATGATGCTAAAAAATACAGCTTTGCATAGCAGGAATACATTACATTTTAATATATATTCAAAACAATAACAGTTATTTAAAATTGTAATAATATTTAAGAATAATACTGTTTTTATTGTACTTTTGCTAAAGTATTGTTGACATCTTGATAAGCATATTTCTTTCTCACACATTTTTTTTACCAACCACAACCTTTTTAATTTACCAGTATATTTCCCAGAAGTTGTTCCTTATAACTTATGAATTTAAAAGAAACATATACGAGAATTCTATAAGTGTCAACTTTATCTCAGATGTTTCTCTTAAATTCATCAGGATAAATAAAAATAGACACAAATAAGGCAATTGTTGACACACTGTGCAAGTATATACAGATAATATTTCTAATTATATAATTATGAGTTTAGTTAAATATAAATATATATAAACATAAGTTAATGTTCAAATGAAATATTAATGTTTATAAATGAGAGATTTAACTTAACGTCCCCATTTAACCTCACTGCTATCTAGGAGAAAGATTTGAGATATTAAAGCCATCACATTTGTGATATTTATTTCTGGGTGATGGTGTTCGAGGAATGAAGGATTCAGAAAGACAAATGATCCATTCGAGGTACCTGGCTCCATTTTACCCCACAAATCACTGCAAAAATGCATCATTCTGACTTTTGGGCTCTCAGAGTGAGGTTTGAATTATGATATGAGTCAGTACAGTCCCTGAGTTTAGCCTGTCATTGAGAAACTTTCCTCTTCCCTTCCACAGATGACTTACCCCAGCGGTTATATCATCTCATTTACGTTATGCATTAATCCCAGAGTCAGAACTGTCAGCAAATGCACTGCTTAAATGTTCATACTCTCTCGGCAGAGTTCCTGAATGCAAAGTTAGCCCGTAATTCATGAGAAGAGATGGGGGATACGTGCTAATAAAGTGATGGCAGTTAGCATTGGCTAGCAGCTCGTGGAGGCATTGGCAGCTTGGCATGGCTATAAAAACTGCCAAGCTTGAACCGATTTGTTGCTCCCAGAAGCCAGGCAAATTGGACGAGTCCCTGAAATGATTTTCAAGAGTTTGAAGTGTCTGAAGTTTATTGTTGATTATGTAAGTGGATGTGATTGAGAATTGTTCAGAAATGTCCTGCTAACTATGATTAGCCTCAATGACTCTCGTATATTCAGCTCACCTGACACTGCAGGACTGTGATTCTTTGTTAATCTTGTGGAACCAGGAGGTTTGGGCTTTTCTGGCTTCTCCGGCAGTGATGATCCCATCTTTGTCCTGGTCTATACTCTGAAATACGGCCCGTGCTCGATCCCTCTCCTTCGCTGTGAGGATTCTCACCAGCGAATTCTGGATTGAGGAAAAACAGAATCATTTACGCAATGCTTTTAGATGAATGGTTGATTGTTCATTATAATTTGGCATTTTGAAAGTTTTTTGGGGAGAAAAGAATAATTTCCACAATACTTTTGTTGAATGGTTGGTTGTTCATTATAATTTAGCATTTGTATTATTAATAAAAATAATAATAATAATAATTTTCACAATGCTTTTGGTTGAATGGTTGAATGTTCATTATAATTTAGAATTTTTTACATTTTGGAAGCAAAAAAAAACTGAATAATTTCCACAATGCTTCTGGTTGAATGGGTGAATGTTAATTATAGTTTAGCATTTTTTTTTACATTTTTTTTGGGGGGGGGAATAAAATAAAATATTAGTAAAACAAATACTAATAATAATTTCCACAATACTTTGGTTGAATGGTTGATTGTTCATTATAATTTAAAAAATTTATTATTAATAAAAATACTACTAATAATAATAATAATTTTCACAATGCTTTTGGTTGAATGGTTGAATGTTCATTATAATTTAGAATTGTTTTAATTTGGGGGGAAAAATTAAACCGAATAATTTCCACAATGATTTTGGTTGAATGTTCATTATAATTTAGCATTTTTTAAATTTTGGAGGAAAAAAAGAATAATAATTTTCACAATGAATACAAATTTTCACAATGCTTTTGGTTGAATGGTTGAATGTTCATTATAATTTAGCATTTTGAAAGTGTTTCGGTGTTTTTTGGCAAACATAAACAGCCAATCGTCCAAGATAATGGGATAATGAGCTATATTATTCGATGGAAGGATTGTGTATTCATACTATTCATAAATTTGAATGTCAATAAATGGTTAAACATAAAGAAACAAAGAAATTACTTTTATTCAGCAAGGATGCTGTGACATTTAGAATGTTACAAAATATTTATATTTCAATCTCATCAGTTAGGGATGAGAACAATCTAGTAATTGTTGCACAATTTTTTAAATGTGCACACGGTTTGGGTCTTAGTGTGTACTGTCATAAAACATAAAATGCCTTTATAAGTGGTCATTGCGCTTTTTCCAAAAACGCAAACAAGCTAAATTTGTCCATGTCCCACATTACCTCGGTCCGGAACTTCTGCAGCACTGAAAGTGACTCGTGGTAGAGGAAGTCAGACCACTCAATCTGACCCTTCTTGTCTGGATCCAGCGCTGCAAACTGGGCCAGAACCTCCTCTTCCTCCTCATCCGTCAAGTCTCTTTCAAAGAGCTGCTTGGTCACAAAGTGCCTGTACTGCAGGAGTTCATCTGACACCAGGCACGACTCTGAGCCGAAAGTAGGTGAGAGGAGACTTACTGCATCATCAATCAATGGAAACAGGTCAGGCCTAATTACAGTACTGACGTGATAAATTAGTAAACCTTTAATTGGCTTCCTTAATTTACTGCACAAAGACATATTTAAACCAGAATCTAGAGGAGGATGTTAAAATGGGACTGAGAGGAACACCTGGGATGATCTTGCACTGTTTGAAGGTTTCCATCAGACTGTACATCTCTTCTTCAGTAAGCAGCAGGTTCACATTATCCTGAGGGCGGAAGAGGAAGAGTCTTTCGGTTCTGGTAGAACAGACACTTCACATTAAAGAGAATTATACACATTATACTGCTTACTTGTTTCTGGTCTAACCTTTGAAACAACTGTATCAACAGGAAATTCATTTTCAATATTAGTACAAATACAGTACGATGCATTGCGCATTAACTCAAATGTAAGATATTTATAAATGAGTTTAGCATGAACAGGATAATGAAACAAAATTGTAAATCATGAAAAGGTAAGAAGCCATCTGCCTATCCCAGCTGGCTTCTGTGACTTTATTTATTTATTTGTTTGTTTGTTCGTTCAACGATTGTAAAACCTAAATGAAATATTTAGTATTTTAATGGATTCAAATTAAATTAAATAGTTAAAGAGAAACGCTTTTGAATTATATAGGCTACTTTTATAACCCTTTTGATATATACTTATATGCAGGCCTATATTTTAAATTGAAGAATCGCAAATAGCAATAGACATTGAATTCGGATTGAATGATTGTGCTCATTTGCTCTACAGGTTATTATAAGTAACGAAGATGATTATAAATGTACATCTAATCCATGGAATTATTTTAAAAAAATAAACCTATTAAATATAATAATGTCTAATTTAAAAAAATAACATGCCACTGGGTACCTTCTGCCCCAATTCACTTTGGGGAGAGGGTCACTTTATCACACAGGTCTGACTTGAAATTTTATTTCCAAATAATAATATATTTTTTAACAATAACCCCCCCATTAGCAAACAGATTTTAATAACCTTTAATATTCAACATATACAAATAAAATCACAGCTCACTATTGTCCAGCGTCAAAACATATCATTTAAACTAAAAGCTGTTCAAATTGAATAAATCTCAAAAATGTTAATGTTCATTTCAATAGAGTCTACTGATCAAGGTTTTCAATCACTACTCTTCACAATATTTACTGATTAATATTCCCAATCACATCAATATTTGCAGAGAAAAGCCCCCAATAATAATAATAATAGATTAATAAATCATGGAATGGATATTACAAAACGTGGTCTATTTCTTGATCATTTTACTAAATTAACACATTCAGATGACAACCCTAGTAAAAAGACTTAATGAGAAAAACATCCTGCACAGAGCCTCAGGGCCCTTCAGACTGAGCCTTAAAAACACAGTTACATTAATTATCTCCAGCAGCAGGTGTTTCAATCTCTCTCTCCCCCCTTTATCTGTCTAAAAAGGCTAACAATCTCTGAGCCAAGGGTAATGAACGACCTGACTAACTCGGCTTTTAAGGAAACCTAATGAGTTTGAGGTGTAAGAGGTGCAGGAAGAAGCTCTCACAGATCAAATGACAGCTTGTCCATTCATATCAAATTCAGAGCGAGATTTCTTTCCTGGCTCAAGCTCTGCCTTCAAACGAACGCTGTCAGAGCCCAGCAGCATTGGGAGTAGCTGTATTTTCAATCAGCTTTCCCCAGCCTGATGAGAACTCATCTGAACAATGGCACTAGAGCAGATGGGAAGGGCAGCCTGCGTCTCAGAGGTACCTCAATTTCCTGTCAGCGGTGACTGTGGGATACACTCCCCTTCTCAGGATGATCATTGAAATGAGATTTGATTTCATGTCTGTTGTGTTATCCACGAGCCATTCTCAACAGACATCAGGTCAGAGACCCCAAAATGAGGAACAGATGTTATAAACAATGCTTAGCGAGAGGTGGGATTCATTGTGGTCTGGCCTTCACATCTCAGTGGTAGTTTCTCTGATCCCCTGGAAGGATGTGATTTGAAATCTGCTATCTTTGCTCACGGGTGCACCATAGATGTAGAAACATGCTTTTTGTCCACAAAATGGTGCAGTTATAGCGTCTACCAGCTGGAGATAACTGACTATGCTAAATAGCAAAACCCTGCCCTCTTGGTTGAAATATTGACATTAAATCAGATGTTGACAGTTGGGTTGTGTGTACTTTCATATTTACTTCACAATAACAAAATTCCAGCAAAATTTCACACAAAAAATGTCCATTGTCAGTGGAGTAGTGATAATATGAAGCAAACCAAGCAGCAAACGCTGCAAATTCTTGCAATGTGATCCAATGCGAAATCTTTAACCCTTAAGTGACATTCCCAGATGCTCAAATTTCTATTAAAATAACTTGAATTTGACTGTAAAAATTCACCAAATAACTGTAAATCTTACCTTTATTCCACCATAACAGTAGGATTAGGTTCAGAAAAGAATAGTTTTTTTTTTTTTTTTTTTTTAGAAATTAATAGTTCACAAGATAGTAATCTATTCCAAACACATAGCTTAACTGACCTGAAAAAGCAACTGATTATCCATAATTTTTTTTTTTTACATGTATGTCTCAAATTTTTAATATACTTAAAGACAAACCATGTGCAAATTCATCAGTCAACACCATTGCTGCGCATTTTCTTCTTAAAAAATGAGGTGTACCAAAGACAGTCTGAAAAACGTCCTTTCTAAATTCAGAATTTCAATGAATTCACTCATGGATTCACTCTCCGATAATGATTCATCCAATATTGCCACTTGCCATTGTGTAGCATTTACTACTTCCGTTAAATGAGTGAAAGTACAGCAGGTCCTAGCCGGTGTGACTGAGTGGAGGCGGGACCTAATTTGCATACCCATGTATACTAAATGAGGTAAGGGTGTAGAGTTACATTTAAGCATATTAAGACATAAAGAAATTATTTTCATTGAAAAAACTGTTTAAAAATGTCATTGTGATTATCAAAGAAAGAGTTTTAACAGACAAAAATAGTAACAGCAGGGGTACTTTAACATAAAAGCAGAAGCAGCCATTTGTGAATGTGATTTGTTTCCAATTTTTTAAGCTGTACAAAAACAGTCCATTATGCTGCTTGATATTGCAAACTGACATTTGTTATCATATTGGTGTTTTTTTTTTCGTAGACACACTGGTTTGTAGTGCAAATAGTGTAATAATTTACTGCACTTTATTATTTTTCTAGTTGTTTACCTACAGCAGCTAATGAATCAGAGTCTCGCACATTCACGGAAAACAGCCTACTTCTTCATTGCAAAACAAGGTGGATAGAAGGTTGAGGTTGAGAATGCGCACACATTTCAAAACAAAACGACAAAATAAGTTCAAGCTTGTGTAGCTAGACGCTGTCATATCCCTTTAAGCCTTCATGTTCGCTGAAACTCCAAGAGATTTGAATTTCACAGGAAATCCAAAAGATGAAACCAGCGTAAAGAACACAAGCACAGTTGGACAAGCTAGAGGCCAGACAGAGAAAACAACACCGCAGTTTCTCCACAATGCTTCACTGCTGGGCGACATTTTCAAACCACAAACCTTGAAAGATGTCAGAACGAGACGGGGAGAAAATCACCTAATTATGTTCACACAAATAGTACAGCTAGCTAGCTATTTAGCAAAACAATACACAGCTTATCCCTATTGGCTGTAGGCTATCTATTTTGCTTCAGCTCACAATTTTCATTGTTAACGTTCCCCATCATCCATGGCATTATCTTTATGAGCATATCTCCACACCAGGTGCATGTCATATCAGTTTGAGCTCTTTTATTGTTGTTTTTGGATGAGTAAGGGCTGTAATTATCTAAATTGTCACATGGCTAATCATAGTGCTGATTCTATTGAATGGCGAAGACCGCATTTGACGCCAAGTGCCAAAATCAGTTTGACAACCTGGCCTGGACTCTTAATTAATTTTCCACCATGGTCTTCTCGCTAAAACACTAACTGATGCTAAATTTCATGCTTACAGTTCTCCACGCTGCTATCATTTCCCATTAAGCCTTAGTTTGTCCCAATGCACTGAAATACACTTGAAGATATTGAATGGTATTACATGAAACATAACATCAGTGTCCCTTGAAAGCAATATTCAACAGTGTAATCCCCAGTCTGAACATCTCTAGTCCTCGACTTACGCACACATGTGGATTAGGTTTTAGCGAGGGCAGAGTGAGAAAATCAGACACATAAGCTGTGAATTAGCCCTCCAAGGAAATACGCGCCAGACATTTCGGCAACAACCCGGCGCTTCACATATTGTTTCGAGGGATGTGTCCACAGCTGTTTATGTTTGCAATGCAGCCTGAGATGCAACCCATTTGAGGGTGTGAGTCTAGCTGGAAACCAGCGAGTGCATCTGGAGTGCGTGTAGCAGCAGCAGCCTCGAAAATGTCTTACACTCTCAACAAATGATTTAAGCATCAGCAGCCTGCACGATTGAGATAAGCGCTCTACTTCACTTTGAAGGACGCTCGTACGCTTTGACAGCCAGACTTCTCTGACGCCGGGAGAAAGACCACTTTGAACAGAGCCCAAACTCTCTAGCATAACACAATCATCTTGACATGCTCATCTTCACGCTGACCTTTGGGAGGAGCTCTATGGTGTAAGGATCTGTGGATATATGCTAGCCAACAGGTGGTCTATATATTTGATCACTCTGTCAGCACTTTTTGCTGGAGAGGGATATAAAAAGAAGAGGAAAACTTGGACATATTTAGTTAAGAAATGTCCTTGGTCTTATTGTGTCTCTGAAACAACTTGTATTTATAGGCGGGGCATTAGGCGATTTTTTTTGTGTGTCAAATCCATTAATTTCCACAGGAATACACAGCCACTTTTCCACACTCGGGCCGAGCGGTTCTAAGAACTGCAACAACGGGAAGTTATGTTTCGGCTTGAGAATTTCAGAATTCTGAGAGGCAATGACTGACGTATTTGTATTGCAAGCTCTGTTATCAGCCCAACAGTGGAAAATTAAACCATATCCATACCCGCTGGGCTGGATCGGCTTAGAATGGCATGGTTAAGAAATGAGAACAGTTTGGGCCGACAAGTGACTCGTGTGATACGGAATTTTGCATGGGACCAAAACAGTGTTAATTTCGTCAACGAAGATGACGACGAAAAATATTCGTTAACGGACATTTTTTCTGTGACTAAGACGAGACGTTGACAAGCTAAAACTAATATCTGATGACAAAAACTATGAC